ATAATTATCACCCCTATGAGATATGAGGGGTTTGGAGAAAATTGGTAGTTTCCTTCCATGCGTTTCAATCAAGTATTTTTCTTCTATATTTTTCTTCTCTTCCATATGTTTCTCTTGAAGTATATTTGTATGCAAAAATGTACTACATGTACATATTTTTCTTTTAGGATTCAAGACTTATGTGTATCTCTCTTTAAATACATTATACATTATATCATTTTATTATTATTATAAAGCAGATATGACTTACAAATGAGTCAGTTGAGGATGCCTGCTTTACCTTTTTATTCGAGTTTATGAATTATTACATATTGCCAGGGTTTATTATATCACATTTTTGTCACAATGCTTACATGGAATTGTGTTCTTTCTATAATTGCTTTAAGTTGAAGTTGAAGTTAGTTATTGTTACCAGTAAATGTTCCGTAGAATAACGTTCTGTGTAAAAATTTGATCTTTGACCAAAAGATTATCATTTATTGCAGAACAGATGAAATTGTAAAAGTTACAGCGCATTTTATTATGCGGATCCTTTATGCAATGGTTGTCATAAAAATTACAGGCCATAAAATCGCTTCCATATTTCATATTTGGTGTGGTTCAGTTCAGTTTCATTTAAAAAAAAACAACTTTTTTGTATCTTACTTTTTAATCAGCAAGTTATGATAGTGAAAAATGCTGAGACACATTTACATATGTTCTTATAAATTTTTGAACATCTTCTTTCATCAGAAGCCTCACAGCATTTGATCGAAATTCTGCTTTGAAATTACAACTAGCAACTATTGAGGTCTTGTATAAAAAACAAAAAAAGAAAAACTACAGTATAGGTATAGTCTTAGAGAAAAGGCTTCAATACAGTACAATCATTTAGGGTCTATCTATAAATTTTTGAACATTTCCTTTGTCAGAAGCCTCACAGAATTTGATTGAAATTCTGTTTTGAAATTACAACTAGCAACTATTGAGGTCTTGTATAAAAAAAAACTACAGTATAGGCATGGTTTAAGAAAAAAGGCTTCAACACAGAACAACGATAATCTGGAGTCTACCTAAAAATCAATAATCAATTATAGCAGGGTGATAACTTTATTGTCATGCATTCTATGGGTTGGCAGGTAGGTGTTAATAAAGGCTGATAGCTGGGTTATATGGTGGTATGACCCTGTTCTACCTACCAGGGTCACTACTAGTGCTGTGTACCGGTTCGCTGGACTGGTTCCGGACTTGTAATAATGTTCAGGTTCCGGATTCCGGACTAAAAAAAACATATCACATACCCCTTTTCTTTCCAAACCACCTAAAACCTTCCATACATTGCAAAATCTGTGCTGCTAAATGAAGAAAACATTGCCATCAGGCATCGTCAAGCGTCGCCCTCCATGTTATGTGGCCACAGTTTTGCCCATACAACATTGCAAGGTGATTTGAAAAGAAAAGGGGTATGTGACATGGGTTTTTTCTGTAATAAGTCCGGAATTGGTTCTTGACTTTGTTTTTTTTGGAGTTGAACCTAAACAAGTCCAGAACTGGTCCAGCGAACCGGTACACAGCACTAACTGCATCTTTTCCTTTCCTATTGGGAAATTAGGTTTATCGTTTCCTTGCAAACGATCTACAGTAGTACAGAATCCCTTCCTAAGTGTTTAGTGAACTGTCCCCTATTGATCAGTGTTCCATCATCCCATGACCACACCAGATGTCGCGAACCATTGTCATCACTTCCTCTGTTTCTCCATCTGTCCTTCTTCCTCCATTCATTTCCTCCATCATTAGATCATTCAGCAGATGATCCATCAATCTGTCTTTGTGTAACAGTGGGGGGTTTCCGAATCGGTAGGAGCGTTGGGTTTGAAGCTAGTGCTCGGGTTTGGTCGTGGGTTTGAACCCCGGCCCGGGACCAGGAGTCTCTTTCTGTTTCTATTGCTTGCCTCTGTTTCTTACAGTGGTTCCCACACCGGCCCTGGGAGTTCTGGCAAAGAGTGCCGCTACAGGGATGTCGAATTCGGAAGATTCGAGGACAAATCTTGAAAAGAAAAGGGGGAGTAGTGTAACAGTGGGGGGTTTATAGGCGCTACCAACTGACCCGGCCGATGGGTCTAGACCTTTTAGCCAAATCGGGAGGAGGGTCGGGTTTGAAGCTGGTGCATAAAAGTGCACCTGTTCCCAAAAAGGAATTTTGAGCCCTGCTTTAGAAAAATAAACTTTATTGTACAGCAATTGTACAAGACACAAGGTATAGAATCTACTTCTATATAACAAGAAACAAATGTACTATGAGACTCTACCGTAGGAAAGATGGGATGAGAATGTACTTTTACAGTATGTGTGAGAACATATGGGATAAAACTTGTATATTGCTCATGACAACTTTATGGTAAGTTAAATTGGTGATGATTTTTATCTACCTCCCCTTTCTCTTGGATCCAGTCTCACATTTGTCACTGTCTTGGTTAATGACATGTTTTTTGTAGGGAAACGACATGTTTTTACCGGATTTCCGCTTGTTTCAGCTGAGATTTGGAAATCCATCAAAGGAAGTTGTTGGCGGTTAAGAATGCGTGCTGTGGCGTGAAACGTATCCCCGGGATGACGTGCCTGGCGGGTAGACCCGTTTGTTGGCCGATCATTCAGCGTTCAGGCCCTAAACCACGGAATCAATAGCTGTGAACCTTACACCAATACATCATCATCAGGCCTGGGCCTGGCCTAGTCAACTATAAGGCCAAGGCAAGTAAATTTTATGGATGACATCTTCCTCAGTTTCCAAATCTAATACGAGCGGGCAAAAAAAAACAAGGCAGGCTGAAAGAAACAAGGTTCCTACAATTTTAAATTTTGACTCAATCATTGTACAAATGGTTTTGATTCAGTGGGAGCATCACATATACACAGCCAGCATCACATATCACTGCATCAAAGTAAGAAACAAAACATTAAATCAGAGCCTTGTCTTGTCTCCTCTCTTCATAGTTATCTGCCATCCACCTTCTGGCATGGCAACAGACATTACCCATTTTTGGCATGTTGACCACTGTGAGAAAGGAACAAATTTTTTTTTTTTTCCAAAATCAGGTGAAAATTAATGTGTGCGCTGCATGATGTCATCCATAAAATTTACTTGCTGTGGCCTAACGGTCGTGTTGGCGAATAAGCCTATTTCTATTCATAACACTGCCAGGGCTGATTAGACTCCCGATTAATTATTGATATCGCCGTGCCAGGCGTTAGAAACCCATTTGGAATTAATAACTTTTTATCTGGTTTTATGCAGCATTTTTGTTCCGGCTGCTGTGCTAGGGAAGCGACCTGCCAAATCCGCGAATTAGGAAATGTTAACGGAACAAAGATAAAAAGCAGGGCTTGTTACCGGTAGTTATGTTCAAGTTCAGGGGTGGAAGAATCTTTGACAAATCTGACACGCGTCAGTGGTTTTATATGGTACTGTAATGCCGGCCTAGTTTGAATAATACATAATGAGCTGTATGGAGGTTATATTTTTCTTTCATTTATAGAGTTGGGCTTACAATACCACCTGCATATGCAGATTAGTGCAGGTAAAATTGGAGCTGTGCAGGTATTTTTGATGTCTACTTGCACCTAACCTGCACTAAGCCAGCACATCAGCAGAACGTACTGTGCCTGCGCGAAACCCGTAATGTGTTGTGCATAGCACTTCGGCAGAACGTCTCATATAAGGTCGTATTCGCGCATATACATGTAAGGTTAACACTCTGTCTGTAGTTTCCAAATGTTATGTCGGAAAAAATATCGTCTGCAACAGGCAAAATTCTGATGCAACGTTGACCAAAAATCCAACGAAAACAGTGAAAATTTGGGTTTTACGCAGGCGCAGTACGTTTTGACGACATGCTAAGCCCATGGATGGACTGTACATTGGCTAGATCAGGGGTTGTATAGGCATATGTTGATTTTATGAATGGTACAAAATACATAGATTAGATCAAGCATTTTGTAAGCGTAACCCATTTTGTGAGTGATGTCCCTTGCTTTAGGCAAGTGGTAATTGTTAACGAAGAGTGACAAACTGTTTCCATCCCTGGCCTTGGCTGGTGTATAAAATGTACCTTTAGGCAGTGTGATTTGTAGTGAGCTAACAACAACCTACATACTGCCCTCACTGAAAGAGTTACATGGTAGTTGAACACTTACCACTACCAGTGGACTATAGCCTAGAGGCCAGACTGTTTCCAGGGTCAAACAAAGGCTGGCTCCTCAGCTTCTGAAGGCCAACTAGCCTGGGTGCCAGACCCACAACACACTAGGCTCAAAGTTAGGTGCAGGTAACTTTGAGCCTTGTTTGCTGTGGGTCTGGCACCCAGGCTAGGGACCAACATGCCCTCAATGATATTTTATCACAGCACCCCTTGTGATAGACCTTGAAGAACTAGAAACTAGAAGGTTAACATCATTAAACATAATGCATTCAAATCAGGACCTCATTCGCATAATTTATGAGGAAATGCTAGAATGGCATTGTTATTAAGATAAGACTGTCTTTTGGTTGAGAATATGATAAATTGATAAAATTCATGAAAATAAGGATCCTATTTGTTAGATCAGGAGGGAATGATCATAAAGATTAACATCATTTGGTGAAGGTATGAGATCGGGGAACTCTAGTACTCCAAATGAAACAGAAAGGACGTCAACATGTGTTCGTGATCTATTCTAGGGGATTGTATGAATGTTTTTCAGAGGTACTTTCTTGTTATCTGACTGTAGCTTCTGTATCTAACCTGGACCATAGCCTGGAGGCCAGACTGTTTCCAGGGCCGTACATAACTGTCTCGTGTCACGTGATTATCCCATCAAGTCACAGGACAAGAGAACTCCAAGATGAGATCTTAACCAGGTTGAAGAGGAGACAAAATGCGTCTCAAAAGCTCCCCAGTGTAGCTGAACTTTAGTTGTGTGTTTTGGTATAAATGTTTGTCAAAATTTTGTATCTAACCCGTTTTCTTCCTGTGTTTCTGCAGGTTATGACAGCATGTGTTCCTCCGGTTAATTACGAGTTGGTAAGTTCTTTTTTTTTATTGATAGAAATCATTCGGATTTTGTGTTCTTTATAGGAAATTATACAGAGAGGTATTTCATGATGGAATACTTACATCAAAGTTTTTATGTGTATTTGATGTCAAATAAAAAGAGGACAGTTTTGCTATTTAACAAGCACTTTCCCTCGTAAGATTTGAAGGAAAAGCAACTGTAGCAAGCAGCTGAGTTTTGTTCAACTGAAATAGTTGCTGTTTTCATGGCAAATGGCCCATAAAACTTCACAATACCAATATGCCCTCCCCTTATTCACTTTTTACATGACTTGACCACATAAATGTTCTAGGTTGAACAGTCTTTACTTGACAGTTACTTTAACCTCCAGCTTGTGAATTACCTCAGTAAGTTGCCAATTTCAAGGTGTGGAGTCACCTTTATTATGTTAGAGGTTAGAAGTTGTGTTGCATGTTACAGCACATTTTATTCCTGTAGAAAAATATCTTTTCTCAGGGGGAGGGTAGTGCTGTGTACCGGTTCGCTGGACCAGTTCTGGACTTGTAAAAATGTTTAGGTTCAAGTCCAAAAAAACCTAAAAGTCATGAACCAATTCCGGACTACATGTCATATACCCCTTTTCTTTCCAAAGCACCCAAAACCTTCCATAAATTGCAAAGTCCGTGCTGCAAAATGAAGAAAACATTGCCATTGGGCATCGTCAAGTGTTGGCCTCCATGTTATGTGGTCTTACTAGAGTTTCATCCAGACAACATTGCAAGGTTGTCAACATGCAATTTTGTATATGCCATGGGTTTAGGTCCGGACTTCTGAGTCCGGAACTGAACCTAAACCTCTGGACTTGAATCCAGACCTGAACCTAAATGTGGGTTTAGGTACACAGCAGTAGGGGAGGGGGGCACTGAAAGAGCTTTGATAAACAGCAACACAGTTGGCTTCAGTCAAGACCAGTTGATATTTATGCAGGTGGACTGAGTTGTTGCAACCTTTGACCCTTGTGCACTTGACCTGGTGTTTTGACTGGAGAGAGGTGGAAGTAAAAACAGACAGAACAAATTCCTGACATTGGGAGGGTTAGGTTGGAGTGTACAGATCCCATCTGTTACTGTTAGTACTAGTAGCTTCTGATAAGACAGGAAGGTCGCCACATCAATTTCAGTAGCATCAACTTCTGAGCTTGTATACTGTATTACATTTTTTATGTTTACTGAAGGAAAACATCATGTTTTGGCTACGTTTCTCTCCTTCTTCTTCTTCTCCAAACCAAAAATGTCAATGACCTGAACCAGACTGTCTGTTACCATGGTAACTAGTGTTGGGTCACATCATGTTGCAATTTTATAGCAGGAGGGATTTAGACTCCTGTTTGACCATATATATGAATGTGTTTGAGTAAGAATCAACAGAGCAGACCATATGCTTTGCAAATGTTACCTTTCTAGTCATCTTTAACCAGTCTGTGACTCTATAAGCTCTTTCTATGGTTGATAAGTCTATGCAATAAAAACAACAACAACAAGTTGCTAAGTATTTGTGTAGCAGTACTAATCTTTCATGCAGCGACACACAAATGGCGAATTAACAGTAAGGACCAACAGCAACTGAAAGTCAGTTGTTGCCAACTTGTTGGAATGTAGAGAAAATTTGCTTTTTCTTCCGGACCTCCAGACTGTGTTTCCGCACACAAACATTAACGTTAGTATCCAGCAGCTTGGCACAGGCATGCCCCCTTAGGCGAAATGGACCATTTTCTCCTAAAGATGTTTATGAAGAAGCTAATGTCTCAATTTTACCCACTTTCCCGTAGCCTTTAGTTCTGTTTATGAGGCGTGAAAGGTAAGGATGGTTCACCTGGCAGAACTAAGTATCGGTCTCAACAACTGCAGTTAGAACATGATAGCTGCTTGTATCAACATGTAGAGTTGTACTGCATCCACATTGCTAAGGCAGTCTCATAGGATACATAATATACAAGCCTCGAAAGTAACTTTGTTTTCCTATTGTCTCAGCATGTGAGTATGTACTGTCGGTTTTTCGGGAAGTATGTATGATTTTTTTTGCTGATGTTCTGACTCCCAGGCACGTTATAATTGCAGAGTAGACAAATTTGGGGGGCTTTTCTGGGGCCAAAAGCCAGAATTCGAACATGTGCCACATGGGCTGACATTCTGATGTTGATTATTTTTCTATTGTCCCAAAAATGTCCCAAAGTGTCTTTTTAGTTGTCCCAGCATAAATTTTAGTGGTCAGTGGCCATCAGGACACTGGTAATGTCTAGTCCTAATATGGGTAACTTTCCCCTATCCACACACCTTCAGTTTTTAGGGGGTAGGGCTATTATAGCTAGTCTTGACCAAGCTAACTACAGTGGCTGAAAAGTAGTAGAATTTAGCCAAATAATTTGACTAATTTGCCAGGGGAGTTTGGCCACTATAGGCTTCATTTGCCAGTGCAAGTTGACAGTTACCCTTATTGCAACCCACTCTACTGGCCAATTACTGATTCTGTTTTTGCCAAATTTTACTGTTTCCCCCCTTCTTATATGAGTGGGTGTGTCATCTACCTAGGGAGCTTGCATGGGGTCCCGACAATGCTCCACGCTAAGTTTTGAGAGCCGGCTACGTATTATGCTGAATTCAGGAAGCCTTTCGATCACGCTTTACGATAAATTCCAAGTGGCTAGAATTGAAACGGCGAATTACACTCTACGCATAATGCGCCAATTACGCTCTGCATTGAATTAGAGTGGTCAGTCTATGCTCTACATGGAATTAAAACCGCCGATTACGCTCTACGGAAAAGGGCATGCAGGCCCCCTCCTAGGTGTACAATATCAACGAAGTCTGCTCTGGCCTCCCTGTCTCTGGAAAGGTCAATCCCAACACACTTCAGCTTGTTTGGAAACAAAACAGTTCCCCTCAAGTACCCAAATTGCCAGACTTTGCACCACTTTGACCAGATCTGGATCTCTTGTTTACCCCAGTCCCTCTCCAAACTCCGACCATAACTCAAGTAGTCAGCAGAAGTTTGGTGCTGTAAACAGTCCTGTTGGTGAACTCCAGGGTCAAACTATTACCCAAGGCGGGGGTGGCTTAGCTGACTGGATTTTTGGTCCTGACAACTTTACGAGGAGTTCTGTTGACCTTTCGTTTGGAAACGATACACGGCTCAGAAGGAGTTTGATTTTATCTATCGGGTACAGTCACAGGCATGATGGCTTCAAGTTCAACTCAACAAGCTGGAGTGATAAGAGGTAGGAAAAGTTCTGAAAGTTAATGGTAGGCAATGGTCTGCTTTTGGTAGTCTTTTATGGGGCTACCTTCTTCAATTACAGTAAAACGTGTTTAACTTCTAAAAGTTATCACCTCTACATAAGGGCCACCTGGCCAATGTGGCCACTCTTTGGTAGTTTTCCCATTGACACAAGCATAAGAAAACTGTCTATAGTGACCGCCTGTCAGTAAAGACCAGATTTTGTCAATCTTCTTGGGCAGTAAAATGTGACTGGACATTGAAAGAATATTAAAAGACGGTAAATAATTTCAGGTACGCGAATAGCAAATTCTTTATTCACAACCACTTGTTTAACAAGATCTGACGTTTCGATGACCGTCTGTCATTTTCATTAGGGAAATTATGGCTGGTTCACTGTGCCCTATAACGTAAAGCTGTTACTGGTTCACTGTGCACTGAAACTAGGTGTTATTGGTTCACTGTGCACTGAAACTAGGTGTTAGTGCCAACAATGTGGTCCCAGATGTAAAGTAATTGTGACATTTGTAGATATTGTTACAATAATAGTGAGATATGCCATTGCAAGTGTGAAATGCACCATATGAGGGCCTGCATGGGGTCCTGACAACGCTCTATGCTAAATTTTGAGAGCCACCTACATGTACGTATTTCTGAATTCAGGAAGCCTCCCTGTTACGTTATACAATAAATTCCAGGTAGCTGCAACGCATCTAATGCGTAGAATCAAAATGGTGAATTATGCTTTACGCGAAATGCACCAATTATGTTCTATGTAGAATTAAAATGGCTGATTACGCTCTACGGAAAAGGGCATGCGGGCCTCCCCCATATCAGCCCATGCTGTGTTTTTGTGTGGGTGATGCAGGTGACAGCTGACCTGTTCCCCCAGGTGTGGTAATGTCAACTGATGTAGATCACAGCCAACAGGTGAGGGGTCCCCTCAACGTGTTTACCCGCCATCTCAAACCCAACTCACCCACGACTCCGACAAACACGGGACCCTCCCTCAGCTAATGAACCAAGACACTCTCTTATCGCAACATTACGTGGATCGTTATAACTTAAACTCTGGGACTAGTGCCACAGTGAAACAATAGCGGCTAACCGCAAGCCACTAACATTCGCTTTAAAAATCATAGCTTGTTACTTCGGTCACAAAGTTTACTTGGTGTCATGCCTGCTGTAACTCTTGGAGGACGTTCTGAGAAATTGGCAAGTACTGGTTGTAGTTCATCCTGTTGTTTTGGAAAGGTAAGTCCGTAGTTTGTATCCACGTACAGTACAGTAAGGCCAAGTACAAAGTAGACTATTTAGAAAACTGACTAGCAATCGATATACAAGTATATCTAACCCTCGCAATACTCTGGGAGTGCTGCCACGGTGAAACAATAGTGGCTAACCGCAAGCCACAGCCATTCGCTTTCAAAATCATAGCTTGTTACTTCGGTCACAAAGTTTACTTGGTGTCATGCCTGCTATAAGTCTTGGAGGACGTTCTGAGAAATTGGCAAGTACTAATTGTAGTTCATCCTGTTGTTTTGGAAAGGTAAGTCCATAGTTTATATCCATGTACAGTACAGTATGGCCAAGTACAAAGTAGACTCTTTAGAAAGCTGACTAGTGTATTGATGTACAAGCACGTCTAACCCTCGCAATACAGGGAACAACAGACGATAAACCTGACAGTGAGTGAGCACGAGTGACTTTTGTTATTAGCTTTTTTTGTTTTGGGCAAAAACTCTTCCAGCGTATA